CCCAGGTGGGGCAGCAGAGGGGCCGGGCTGCAGCGGGGACCCCGCCAGCCTGACATCTGCAGGTGGACTGGGTGAATCAGATGAGGGAACCTCCCCAGGAGCCAGCAGCACCCTGGACCTGCTGCTCATCTCAGCCTGCTCTGTTCCTGCTCCCCCCCCAAACCCTCTCCGGTCCTCACTCCATCCCTTCTCACCCTCTCTCTGCTGGGGTGCTTGCACCCCTCCTCACCTCGCCGGTACAAACCCCTCCACTCCACTCCACTCCCCGCCCCTCCCCACCTTCTTTGATTTATTTGTGTATTTCTTTCCTTGGCAACCACCAGTTCCCCTCAGTCAAACAGCGCAGACTCCCTATAATTTGAAATTAATTTGTTTGACTGCAGCATTGAGACAGGAAGGTTGGGAATTTATTTAATTCTTTTTCCTCCCTGTGCAAAAAGGAAGCGATGAAATTTCCAATCGAGACTCCAAGAAAACAGGTGAACTGGGATCCTCAAGGTTGGTGATTCTCTATTACTATCATTACTATAATAATAACAATTATTATTATTCCTTGTGTCTAGTGACTCGTAGGAGACTATTTGACTCCAAATGGGAGGAGACATTGGATGCTTGTCTGCTTCCCATGTGCACTGCTCAGTCTTTCTTGCTCAATCCTAGCAGTGCGCTAGAAAATGCTTCTCAGACGTGGGGTTGGGTGGGTGCGTGGGTAAAACCTCTTCTATGTGTAAGTTTTATAGTTCTATATGTGATATCTGTCTTCCCTTCCCTCCCTTTTTCTTGAGTATTTTCATGGCAAACTTGCCTGGGATGGCAGTGATCTCTGGCTCACAGCATTGTTTGTTTTATCTGTGGCTCCTTTGTTGTTTCTAGTGATCATTGTTTCTGCTAAATGGGTGGTACAGGAGTGGGCACAGATGTGACTGCTCAGGGCTCCTTGATGGCAAATGTTTGTTGGCAAGCAACTGGAGCAAAATGCTGCTGCAATATAACCCATAGTGTCGACGGTATAAAAAGACACGTTAAATAATGGAGCCCAAAGGGACCTTTTGACTCTTTACTCCGTCCTGTTAACAATTGATCAGCCCAAGTGGATAGTTTCATTAACTCTATAGTTAGGTTTGGAGCCTGTCTTGGGAAGTGTGTTTGTGTGATGGTGGAAGGAGATTTACGCCAGTGCAGTGGTTTTCAATAAAACGATCCAAGTGGTGTTTTAAAATAAACCATAATGAAATGCTGTCCTTTCCTGGCATGGGGAGGAGGTTCATATGCAACCTACAGAAGAAGTCACTGAAAAAAACCCTACTGGTAATTTGTATACTGGTGTGTCATATTTCTGTGCATTGGTACAGGAGCAGAGCAACTTGAAGCCATATGCTTAGGTTTGCAGCAGAACGGCTGGCAGCCAGTCACTGTACAGCAGTGCTTGCAGGAAGTATGAAGTGATAGCACAGGCTTTGATTATTCATCTTTATTCCGCAGGTTTGGTTTTAGTGGTCAATTTGTCTGTCATCCTCTGTGCCCTCACATCTACAAAATGAAACCTTAGAAACAGCTTCTCCTGGCATAAAAGGAAAACATCAGAATAGACATCTTTCTGCTGAGCAGATCTGGTGTGCTGTTTGAATAGTATACACAATTAAGCTTTAGTTGAAGTCTTACTACATCTTTAATTAGATGAAGGCTGAAATCGACACATCAGCCTCCTCCTCCCTCAGCTTCACAAGGAACACATGGGTAGCAGTGCTAAAGAGATTTGGTTATTTTAATAATCCTATATTCCTTATCTTAGGGTCAAAAATCTGTGTGGTGAAAACTTGCTGCTCCCAGGTGCTTTTTTGAATGTGTGTTTGCTGTTACTTCATTTTAATTTATTTTATGTATTCCAAAATGCCTTTTAATGCAAAAAGCCCTTTCCTCCCTTCCCGTGACAATGCACACAGGAGGCTGTGCTGATGGCATTCTGCATGCAGCTCCTTTGCTTGGCAATCAGCTTTAAAGCATATGGATCCAACAGGTGGTTGGGCACAATTTGCTAATGTGTCCAAAACTGTAGAGTACTGTAACAGGTAAAAGACCTCCAACCCAGCAGGTTTCCTCTCTGTCAAGCTGAATCCCTGCTAAGGACTGCAGAATCCTACCTGTTATTTCCCCTCAGTGTATTGACTTTGCTAGCCAGGCAGAAAGGATGCTAATGTATAGCCAGCAAGGAAGCAAAATATCTTAATTTCTAATTCTTCAAGGGACTCAGGAAATAGATAAAATTTGGTGGACTGGAAAAAGGCAAATTGGTAAGGAAAAGTTGTCTCAGGCCCAATCCTTTAACCAGTAGAGGAACAGTGCAATGATACTGTACTCCTATCGTCCCACTGAAGAATTAGTGATGTGCGTAGAAGACAAGGTAGATCAGAGTTCTGTTCTTTTTGAAATGAAAATATATTTATGTAGATATAAATGTTAGCAAAGATCTACACAAAATTACTTTGAACCCTAAAATGAATTTGATTTACAGTCACATATGCAGTCTGTTCTCTGCATGTACATGTGAAGAATGATGTTATGTTTTGCATTCTATGTGACAACCTTGGAGTTATGAACTGAAGTAGCTTTTCTTAGTTACAAAGATCAACATGTAGAAAGCTGGTGGTGCAAGGATACAGAGAGTCCTAAGTATTAAAAGCAGAGCTCTTGTCCAGTTAGTGTTCACACACAAATACTAGGCTTATTTCAGTACATGTTGTATGATCATGCCCTGTTATGGTCGTCAGACAGAGAACGTGCAGTTTCCACAGTTTTGTCTAGTAGAAATTGTGCTAACTTGTGCTAACAGTACTTGAAATATATCAACTGATGTTCCTGGCAAGCAAGCTAGCAGTCCAATGATGTAAGTGAGAGCTATGGTATCTCAAAGATTGTTTAGATTTGATTATTCCAGGCAATATTTTCTAGAAACTATACACACTTCTAAAGGCCAGGGCCCTTGTTGTGGAGATACAGCTTGCTTGGCACTGATTATGTTGCTGGTTTGAACCCAGGTCAGAATGATAGTTATTGAAATGAATTAACGCTCAAACTCCGTAATGCTGACTGAACTATAAATATTTACATAGGTAAATAGATTAGAGTCTGCTGGTAGCTTTTGTCTGGCATAAAACTGGTATTCTCAGTTCACGTCAGCAAAGATCAATACACTATAGAAAGACTTTGTGGAGAGAACAGATTTAAAAGAATAGAATTGACATGAGGGATGGTGTCTGACAGACAGCTAATGGGAGGCTGATTTCTCAGCCATTTAACTGGGACAAACAGGGCGTGGAGACTGAACTGTGCTTTTATCCTGTTGTGTAGTATCTTCACTTGTCTTGGGTATAGATTATATCTGTGTGTTCCCTGTAAATGCTGAGTGTGTTTTCTAGATAAACCAATCATAAACCTGGAAGTATATAGGGTCCAGATCCCTCCAGTGAAGTCCCCTGCTATCCCAGGCAATCAAACTATATAATCCCATTAACAAACAGGTCAAACTCCATCCCAAAAGTCATTGGGACTTGCACCTAACAATCCATTGTGAAATAAAATCATAGAATTGTCTAGGTTGGAAGGGATCTTGAAGATCATCAAGGCCAACCATCAACCTAACACTGCCAAAAACAGCACTAAACCATGTTCCTCAGCACCACGTCTACCCATCTTTTAAATACCTCCAGGGATGGCGACTCCACCACTTCCGTAGGCAGCCTGTTCCAGTGCTTGGCAACCCTTTCTGTGAAGAAATTTTTCCTATTATCCAATCTAAACCTACCCTGGTGTAACTTGAGACCATTTTGTCTCTTCCTGTCACTGATTGCTTGGGAGAAGAGACCGACCCCCACCTCGCCACAACCTCCTTTCAGGCAGTTATAGAGATCGATAAGGTCTCCTCCTCTCAGCCTTCTTTTCTCCAGGCTAAACAACCTCAGTTCCCTCAGCCGCTCCTCATAAGACTTGTACTCTAGAGCCCTCATGAGCTTTGTTGTCCTTCTCTGGACATGCTCCAGAACCTGAATTTCTTTCTTCTAGTGAGGGGCCCAAAAATGAACACAGTATTCGAGGTGGGGCCTCACCAGTGCCGAGTACAGGGGGACAATCACTTCCCTAGTCTTGCTGGCCACACTATTCCTGATACGGGCCAGGATGCTACGGGCCCACCTGGGCACACTGCTGTCCAGATCTCTCTGTAGAGCTATCCTACCCTCAAACAGATTGACTCCCGCCTAACTTGGTGTTGTTTGCAAACTTACTGAGCGTGCACTTGATCCCCTCATCCAGATCATTGATAAAGATATTAAAGAGAACTGGCCCCAGCACCGGACCCTGGGGAACACCACTTGTGACCAGACACCAACTGGATTCAGCTCCATTCACAACCACTCTCTGGGCACAGCCATCCAGTCAGTTTTTGACCCAGCGAAGAGTACACCCATCCAAGCCATGAGCAGCCAGTTTGTCCAGGAGAATGCTGTGGGAAACCATGTCAAAGGCTTTACTGAAGTCCAGGTAAACAGCGTTGACAGCTTTCCCCTCATCCACTAAGTGGGTCACTTTGTTATAGAAGGTGATCAGGTTTGTCAAGCAGGACCTGCCTTTCATGAACCCATGCTGACTGGGCCTGATCACCTGGTTGTCCTGTATGTGCTGCGTAATGACACTGAGCATGATCTGTTACATAACTTTCCCAGGGAGGGAAATATGTCCTAGAATCTCATATATATTGACCAAAAAGCATACTATTCACAGACAGTGAGTGAATGGGGTAAAAAATGAGTAAAAGACCCATGCAGGCACCTCAAGAATGTTTTAGGGAGAGTTGGGCACATTGACTAGGGGCACGGGATCTCACACTACCTGGCCTTACATTTTAGAAAACAAGCCTGCCATTTCTGTTACTGGTGCAATCAGCCTGGATATACACAATGATAAAACATTTGATCAGCCTGTCACTTATTTTGCTTCTCCCATTTTGTGCAATTCAGGTAAAGCAATAATAACTGAAATTAGTGAAAGACAAGATTTTTAGTTTCATACCTCATGCAACTTCCCATCTATAGTTTTCAGAATATAAGATTGGGTTTATAGCAGCATATGAAGACATTAATTCTTGTAATTGTTGTTCTCATCTCTCCTCTTTCCTGCATTCCTCCTGCTGTTTGTTACACCCACCTGTTGTCTGTGCTTAAATTGGCTTATAATCTCTGCACATATATTTTTATACAGTATCTAAACCACAGTGGGTCCCTTACCTGACTGAGACATCTAGATGTTTCAGCAATATCAGTTTGGGTTTTTTTTCTACAAATTATCTGTGTAAAATTGCTGTTTCTTTGTAGAAAAGAAGGCAAGATGAGACTGTTTCCAATACGCTCAGAAATTATCCCCAAGCATGACTGTCTTGCAGGGGGATGGTGAGATGTCTTTCGAAGAGAAGGGTGTCTATCTTGGTGATGTTCTTAGTACACAGA